GATACTTTCTATATAACCTCAAAATTTAGAGAATATCATTACAGTAGCAGATGTTGATGGAAAATCAAACCTATGGCACCAAAGGCTTGGCCATATGAGCGAGAAAGGGATGAAGACACTTTTGTCAAATGGGGAGTTTCCGGATCTAAAGAATGTAGATATCGGACTATGCGAGGATTGCATCTTTGGCAAACAAAAGAAAGTCAGCTTTGCAAAGATTGGTAAGACACCCAAGGCTGAAAAGTTAGAGTTGGTTCATACTGATGTATGGGGACCATCTCCAGTTCCATCTCTTGCAGGCTCACTATATTATGTCACCTTCATCGATGATTCTACAAGAAAGGTATTGGTTTATTTTCTGAAGAAGAAATCAGAAGTCTTTGATACCTTCAGAAAATGGAAGGTCATGGTGGAAAATGAGACTGGTTTGAAAGTCAAGCGGATGAGGTCTGACAATGGAGGAGAGTACAGAAATCGTAAATTCAGAGAATTTTACGCAAGCAATGGGATCAAGATGGAGACAACAATTCCCATGACACCACAACAAAATGGTGTATCAGAGCGCATGAACATAACTCTGAATGAACGTGCCAGAAGCATGAGGATACATGCCGAATTGCCCAAATTTATATGGGCTGAAGCTATCAACACTGCAGCTTACCTGATCAACCGTGGGCCTTCAGTTTCTTTGGATGGCAGAATACCAGAGGAAGTTTGGAGCAAGAAAGAAATAAACCTTTCACACTTAAGAGTGTTTGGTTGTATTTCTTATGTACACATAGATTATGCTGAAAGAAGTAAACTTGATGCCAAGTCCAACAAATGTGCCTTTGTTGGTTATGGCGGTGATGAGTTCGGTTACCGGTTTTGGGACTATGAAAATCGAAATATCATCAGAAGCAGAGATGTCATTTTCAATGAGAATGTGATGTACAAAGACAGGTCAACTGTAGAATCAAGTAGCTCAAATACCAAAGCTGAAACAAAGGAATTTGCTGAGTTCGAGGAGATTTCTAGAAATGATGTTCAGATCAATCCTGAAGCAGTTCAAGAAGAACCAGGCACACCGGAATTAAGACGTTCCTCCAGAATTCCTAAACCGACCCAACGGTATTCTCCTTCTTTGCACTACTTGTTGCTGACTGACAATGGTGAACCAGAGTGCTATGATGAAGCAATGCAGGTGGAGGATTCAGTCAAGTGGAAGTCTTCAATGAAAGATGAGATGGGCTCGCTTATGTCAAATCAGACGTGGGAATTAGCTGAATTACCACCAGGTAAGAGAGCGCTCCATAACAAGTGGATTTACAGGATCAAAGAAGAGCACGATGGGAGCAAACACTATAAAACAAGATTGGTTGTCAAAGGTTTTCAACAAAAAAATGTATTGACTACAATGAAATTTTCTCTTCAGTCGTGAAACTGTCTACAATCAGACTGGTATTGAAAATTGTAGCTGCAGAGAATTTACATCTTGAGCAGTTAGATGTAAAGACAACTTTCCTTTATGGTGATTTGGAGGAAGAAATCTATACGAAGCAGCCAGAAGGCTTCATAGAGGCAGGCAAGAAAAACCTGGTATGCAGGTTGAATAAGAGCTTGTATGGTTTAAAACAAGCTCCAAGACAGTGGTACAAGAAGTTCGATAGTTTCATGGGTAGCAGTGGTTTTACCAGATGCCAAGCAGATCATTGTTGCTACATCAAGAGGTTCGACAAACAGCTTCATCATTTTATTATTGTACGTTGATGACATGGTCGTTGCAGGCTCAGACATGCAAGAGATTATAAACTTGAAGCAAAAATTGTCGAAGCAGTTTGCTATGAAGGATCTGGGCGCTGCAAAGCAGATTCTTGGGATGAGGATCAAGAGAGACACAAAGTCGGGGACTTTGATGTTATCACAGACTGAGTACATCAACAAAGTACTCTCCAGGTTCAACATGCAAGATGCTAAACCAGTAAGTACACCTTTAGGTGTTCATTTCAGACTCTCCAAAGAACAGTCACCAAAGACGGAGGAAGAACGAGCACACATGGTGAAGGTGTCGTATGCCTCAGCAATTGGAAGTCTCATGTATGCCATGATTTGTACTAGACCAGATATTGCTCATGTAGTGGGAGCTGTTAGCAAGTACATGAATAATCCAGGCAAGGTACACTGGGAAGCAGTCAAATGGATCCTCAGATATCTACGGGGTACCACAAACAAAGCACTTTGTTTCAAAGGTGGAGATACGATACTGACAGGCTATGTAGATGCTGACTTAGCCGGAAATGTCGACATCAGAAGAAGCACTACAAGGTATGTCTATACTCTCGGAGGAACTGCAGTGAGTTGGGTTTCTCAACTATAGAAGATAGTTGCTCTCTCCACAACTGAAGCAGAATATATCGCTGTTACGGAAGCCAGCAAGGAGATGGTTTGGCTCCAAAGTTTCTTGGAAGAGTTAGGCAAGAAACAAGAAAACAATGTCTTGTATTGCGACAGTCAAAGTGCTATCCATCTAGCGAAGAATCCGTCTTTTCATTCCAGGACGAAGCATATACAATTGCGATATCATTTTATCCGGTCTCTTCTGGAAGATGGGATTTTGAAACTTGAAAAGATCAGTGGAGCTCAAAATCCGGCAGACATGTTGACAAAGACGGTGACCACAAACAAACTGAAGTTTTGTTCAACTTCAGTTGGCATGCTAGAGTAATAAGACCAGAAATACTGCTGCATTGATCAAGGTGTGAAGACAGATTAAAATCAGTCTTCAAGTGAGAGATTGTTGAAAATCAATGCATGGGCGGTTGAAAACAAGTGGGGCGGCTAAACAATGCATGGGCAGCTAAATGGTCAAAATTAGCCAATTTTTTTATTGAAATAAAAATGGGGAAAATGCAATTTTAGTCATTGCACTTTAGGGTATTTTCAAAGATTAGTCCCTAAGCTTCAACTATAAATACCCTAGCTCATTTAGCTTCAAAATCATCCTAAAATCTTCCAGTTCTCTCTCAAGTGTGTTTTGTAAACACCTGTAATTTTTTCTCTTAAGTAAAAGATCTGCAGCAGTCCAGAGACGTAAGCAAATTGGCTGAACTCCGTTATCAATTTTTCGGGTATTATTTTTTCCGCTTTTATTTCGTATTCTCACTAATCTGGCTATAGGGAAATTACTTGTTACTCGTTTATTTCCCAACAAGATGGACTGGCGTTTTTTGCATTTGGCTGGGGCCCGAGGACCTGCATCGGGCAAAATTTTGCCATGACTGAAGCTAAGGTAGCTTTAGCTATGGTTCTGAAACATTTCTCATTCAAGCTCTCACCTTCCTACTCCCATGCCCCATACACAGCTATGACTCTTCAACCACAGCATGGAGCACAAATAATCGTACACCAAATCTAGTTGGAAAACTTGGTTTTATGTGGGCTAAGGTGGATTAACAGAAAGTTGAGTTTGAATGGGAGAAGGAATCACCTACCGTTTTGTGTTGCATTTTCTGTAGGAGCAATGTAATAAACGGATACCAGGACATATGATTTTCACATTGTACTATTAAAACAGTTATTTATCTTATCTAGATAACTGACCTTTTCAATTGAACACCAAGCAACAAAGACCTTGCAAAATCTAATAGACATGAACTTAAAGGTGGCAAAATGATCCAGAATCTGTAAGATCGGTAGAAATGATCCAAACTTAAAGGTGACAAGATATGAGTGATTATATATATAAAAAATTAATTTATTAAAACAATTGGCATGTTTATTTATTTAATTTATATGTTTCTGAGATAGCATTTCCACTTTAAGACGTGGTGACTGACAAAAGAAAAAGAAACATGAAAGAGTCTGAGAGAGAGAGACGGTGAGTACGTGCGTGGAGGATTAAAAGTGTACCCAATCAGTTACTGACTACTGGCGTTAATGGAGCAAAGCTAAGTCTTTATCTATCCAAAAGCAGCCCACTTATCTCACCAACCTTTAGACCGTGTTTTTACCTATTAATTGATTAATCTAAATAAGATATTGATAAAATATCTAATATAAGAGTGAATTTTTTAATTTAATTTGTTCAATTCGTAAACGTTAAAATTTAAAGTAAGAAATTTAATATTTCATCCCAAAGTACACTCAATTGTTGGTTTGCTATAGTTTATGGTACTGAGGGACAGAAGGGTTATAAAATCGGTGACCATGACTTGAATACCCTTGTCTCCTGTGATGAAACATATAGTTTATGGACCAATCTAGGTGGCCTCGGTCTGCTTTCAATTAACAATGGCGAAACCTTTTGTTTTCTTTATTCGCTTTTGGTTTAAACACGAATTCAAAAGATAGACTCCGTGTGAAACTTTCGGTGATTACAGGAACAACACGTTGCGTACTGTTGTACTAAAGCAGGTAGGCAGGGCAGAACACATAAAAGAAAGAGATGAAAACGAAAACAAGCTCGGTGGAACACTAAAGATGAGGCTGGAACATGGTAAATAGTGGGTGGCCTTGCATCCCTGAACCCACATTTGTATGGAATGGAAGACGCTTCTTTCTGCTTTTTAATAGTGGAATGTTTTCCCAAAAGCTGAAGCACACAGCACTTGATTTTTAAACCAAACCTCTCAGCTTAAATGATATAATATTATAGCTGCTTTAGCCAATAATGAAGAGGGAAAATTACCATATTTTCTCCCACGACAATGGGACAGGTGTAAGATATTATTTCAGTGGACCATTTAATTTGGTTTTGGCTTGGCGTTTTCGGAGAAAGAGGCTTTGCCAAACTTCAATACATGGGCGTACTCAGAAGCGAAAGATTAGCAAATCCTGGGAACATAGGCCCCTACTATTATTATTACAATACAGTAGCAGCAGGAAGAGGTTGAGTAAGTGCCTTGAAGTTAAAGCCAACGTGAAGACCCTCAGAACAGTACGTTCACATGTTACCCACCACTCAATCATATGCTTGGAGGACTCATTCAGTCTTAATATTTATGAACACTATGAATTTGCAGTAGGATCAACGTAAATTGAAGTCATTGGATCCTTCATTAACAAACGCGACAGAAAACACAACCCGGTTCAACCAAATTTTGCGAAAAAACAAAAAAGCCGATGGGGAAGAAAGAAACAAAGGGAACTAAACAGTCGGAATTCACAGGAAGAAGTGATCCCCACTAAGTATATCCTTGGCCTCTAATGCAGAAACCTGTTACTTGAAATTCAGCCATCTGCAAAAACAAAAAATTTCGTGTTTTTCAGACCATAATATTAAATGTCTTAAATTAGATAAACGTGCGACCAAGAGCACAAAAACCGGCAAAAAAATGAAAGATACCATTATGAGCTCTTGAATTGAAGATGGGAAAATCATGTGAAGGGATGGATATGGAGAGCCTGGTGGTTGAGTTGTTTGATGATTTATCGTCCAAATCGAGCCATGAATCTCTATGTTTCGGTGGCCATTCATCAAAGAAACGATGGACTGTCTTTGGGGGTTCTCCTTTGTCCAATTTATCGGGCATTTGGAATTTGATGTAGCAATGTTCATCATCGTCCTGTTTGCTTTGTTTTGTGCTGTGATCGGTGAGGCTTTGAAGCTGCAAGTAAGAGTGTTCACTCTGTAAGCCAGAGAAGCTCCTCTGCTTCGAGGAAGAAGTGCTCATCGTTAGTGGTGCAAGTTGCCATGAATCGTCCACAGAAGAACCAGAGAAGCTCCTCGCTGTCCGGGAAGGCTCAGAGAAAAAAGCATACTCATCCACCTCTTCTTTTAGCCCATAAACATAACTGTTTCTTCTTCATGAAAACACGGAACTCATCAACGAAAAAGAAAACAAGTACAATAAAAGGAAAAACCCAAGGTTCTTCTGAAGGGGAACCTGTAATCCGTGTTTGTCTGGGAGTTGGAGCCAGAATCCAAGAGAGAATGGGTTGTGTTTTCTTGAGGTGACAGGCCAGCCCCAGGAGGTATCGATGCATGGGGATACGTAAAGGGATGATTGACTTGGGACAAAGAAAAAGAAGACTGAGTCTTGGTGATTGATGAGATGTTCTGGGTTGCTCTTGAAGGGTTTGCCATTGTAGTAGCACTACTATGAACTTCCACAGGCTTTCTTGAACGGTTTTTGCCTCTATGCATGTGTCTTTCGCAGTACTTCGAATCTGCGTAGGCTTCTTTCGAGCATCTCCATTTTTTTCCATCGGTTCTCCTACACCTTCCGGGCTCTGGGTCCACTTTTCTCCCCAATCCCATCTGGAAGCAGTTCCATCCGACTGCAAAAAAACCAACAGGAGACTTGTTAAAAACCCAAAATGGAAAACAAAAAAAAGTTTGGGGTTTTAGATTTACTATGTTGAGGCTGATAAGAGAAAAGCCTTGAAGGAAGTGAGGAATCCAAGCAGCTTCTCTTGATGGTGAAGAGGAGATCAGGTGGTATGGGGATGCCTGAGACCATGTACTTGAAGATTAGAGCTTGGTGTTCAAGCTCTTGATACTGAGATGCAGTAAAAGGAAACCTGTTTCTTCCACTCATCATTCAAAGTGGGGAACAATGGACAAATTTGTTGAAAGTAGGCAAAGCTAATAAATAAGAGAAAAAGGCAGTTGTTCAGACCAAACAGACGAGTGAAAGAGAAACAAACATGACGGGGAAAGATTGGAACAGGTTTTGTTTCTTTGTAAATTGTAAGTGCAAGTTTGTTGGGTTGGTGGTGCATTACTTGGGCAATTTTACCTAAAAATCATCCTAACATTTAAATATTACTTATCAGGCATATTTTTCAAATATTATTAATCTAGCATTTTTTCTGACAAAACGCGGATCATGAGACGTGCCTTCGCAAGGTTCTGTCTAAGCTGGCGTCACGGTGAAAAAGCGTGGATCATAATCTACGCCTTAGCAAAGTTCTATCTTAGTTGGCGTCACGGTGGTAAAGCGCGAATCATGAAACTCGACTTTGCTAAGAATCAGACACGTTGCGAAAGACGCAGATTACAATCTGTGCCTTGCATTTAAATCTCAATCATCCCGCCTTAAATACCGTCTAGCCCTGTCCCCGTCCGCCTCCCCTCCTACTATAAATACCCCTTCATCCAAGTATTCAACACTCGTACCACACAAAAAAACACTCTATTTCTTCCTTATATATATATATATTTCTATCAAATTTTAAGTAAGAATAGTTATTGTTTTTAGAAACTAATTTTTTTATTATATTATAATCATTTAATAGTTTATTATTTTATTATATTTTATTGTATTAATTTTTTAATACTTTTTACAGTTATAAAATGTCAGACGGATTGCTGCGTTTAGATGATAATCATATATCCAGTCATTTTACCAATACGATAATAATTTTAAATTCTATTATTTTATTTATTGTAAATGTTTTATTCATTTATTTTTTTAGTATTAGTTTATATTTTAATTTGTATACTATTTATTTAATTAGGTAAATGACCGTAAATTAGATTAATTTATTTGTAACGCTAAATTAGAGATATTGAGTCGTGTCTTGTCGTATTTAACTAAGACTGAATTCGGTTACATAATGAAATATGAAGGGCACTGTAAGGTGGAGAACAGAGACGCACACATTTCATCTTTCGTGTGAGGAGTGCACTATTATACTAGAGGATGTTTTCATACATTTAGGGCTTTTAAAATTTGGTACAAAATTAAATATAATACAAAATAATTAGTATAATAAAATTTGGTCAAATAATTAAATATAATATAAATATAATATAATATAATAAAAAATAATTTTACCTTTTTTAAAATTATAACAAAATATATTTAGCTTGATAGAATGGGTAATGAGAAAGTAATTTTGGTGTAGTTTGATGTTTGTATTCGGAGGTATTTATAGAGGATGAGGATGAGTGATAAAGAGAGTTGACTTAAGTAATAATGGAGTGCGCAATAATTCGTGAATAATGGAAGATGCGTCTCATGATCCGCGGTTTCCTGTACATATCAGATTTCCTAACGATGACTCATCTCATAATCCGAACTTTGTTAGAAATGTGTTAGATCGATAATATTTGGAGAAAATGTGCACAATAGGTAATATTTTGTTCCTATGGTGTTATTTGGGTAAAATTGCCTTTTACTTGAGAATGCTGATGTAGACGGTGTATATAGAATAGGTGTATTTATTTCAGGGACCATTTCACTGCAGAATCTTCTGTTCATTCGATAAAACTAATGCTTCTGATTATAATGCTGCCAATGCATCATCCTTCTCTTTCTCTCTCTCTTTTCTTCCCCTCTGACACCGGACTCGTGAGGGGGAGAACTGAGAAGAGAGCAGTGACTCATATTATACTGAACCTCTCTGGTTGCTTTTCTGGTCCTGCAGCCTAACCTGTCCTTCAGTGGCAGCTCTTGTCATTCTGATAACTCTTCTGAAACCCATAAACTAAACTTTAGTGGGTTAAAAAAAGGCTGTAAAAACAAAAGAGACTATTATTTTCATTATTATTTTAATCTAACACATTTGGTGTTGGGGTCTCTGCCTCATCAGAAGTTTGTACGGTTTTGGGCTTTTAGAGCCCCTTTACTTTTTCTTTTTCAGTTTCCTCTCATTTACTATATAAATTTTTTGGGGCTTAACAACCATAACTCTCCTCCCTTTCCCCATAATCTAACCTTTTGTTTTCCCTAATTCTCAGATGAAATGAACATAGGTTTGGTTTGTGTGTCTCCTATAAAGTAATCAAGTCTGCAATCTGCATAAACCAAACCACCTCAGTTAGGCGCCGTATTCCCTATTTGATTAGTAAAGGGTGAAGACAGAATCAACTCATTGCATTACTAAACCCAAGGATTAATATTCTTTTACTGAGAACTGGTGCTATATACATATCAGATCAGCTAAGCTAAGCTCTATGGCAGCTGTTCATTATGACTCCTATGTCCTAATATAATTATAAGCAGCAACTAGCTAATGGAGGGTCCAAAAGCGGGTTAGAATGGACACAACTGTGTTCAACAGTCTTCAAATGATGCTGTTGTTTCTCCCTGTAGTTTTGTATTACATGGAAAGATCATGTGAGGTGATCATAATCGGAGAAAATCACAGATTCAGAGATTGGGATTAAAGGAGTTAAATGAAACCCTGGGGACTTGCTTTTAATTCCCAGGCACTGTTGTATTATAAGTTCGGCAGGCGTTGGTACAAAGTTAGTAGAGGACTCTTTGGCGCTGAATAGAGCTGTCCTTATCTCCCTGTCAGCATGCACTATAAGAAAATACACAAGATTACCCACTTGATCAGATGTACGGCAACCTCCCTTTATTCCTTGGATATAAGATGGTTTGTTTTCTGAATTTTTTTCCAGCATACAAAAATGTTATTTTCCCCCCTTCTTCATTATGGTAGAAAGATGGATTCGTAAGTATAAAGATCCATTTTTTGTGTGAAGTAAAGCAAAAAAAAAAAATCTAGTACTCTTTTAGAAATTATAGAAAAATATATTATTCAAAATTATATGACAATATATATGTACATTTACAAACTAAAGAAAAATATAAGAAATGTTTTTTTTCATTTCTTTTTTTGGTTTTGAAATATTGGGATCATATTACTTAGTGAGGTAGTGGGAAATAGTGGCCTTCATTGATGGTCCTGGAGCCACCACCACCCACTGACCTTTAAGGGCTCCCACTCCTAGACTCAAATGTCAAATGTGGGTCAACAAGAAGCTCCACCTGTAACCATTTCCACAGTTGACAACAGCACATTTATAGTCATTCATGTCTTCAAAATCCCAGCAAAGTTTTGTTTTCAATGGTCCTGGCAATACCAAGATTTTGCTTGATTTCTCATTCATTACTCTCTGCCACCATAATTACACAAGCTTGAAAAGTCTGATCCACCGCTAGAAAAAAGGACTATTCCCATTATTAATGACTCAACAATCAATCAAAGATCACTATTCCTAATTAATTTCAATGTTCAAACTCCATTAATCCTTCCCCCGTTTACTCCATTAATTTCTATGACCTTACCATCAGATCAGGCAAGGGTAGTAGCACAAGGTGTGTGTCAATAGGTCAAGGGTAGTAGCACAAGGTGTGTGTCAATAGTTCAAGGGCAAGAAGCCATCCTCTGTTCAGACTCGACTGCTTGACTCTGTGATGCCATTTCAAGACCAACAAAACATGGCTTCATTTCCATCAGAATTGTCAATCAATGACGGGACCAGAAGGTTCTATATAATATTGGACCGATACTGGATTGTGCACCATTAAAACCGAGTCTGTGGCTTTCTTTATAGACACTGTTCCTTTCTGTTGAACAAATGTTTTGTCAGCAGACAGGAAAAGCCTTGAGCTTTGTTCCCTGTGTTTTTTTCTTGCACGCAGGCAGATTCACGTGTTTTAATCTCTCGAAGTGACAAAAGGAATTTGGATTGCAGTGACTCTACTGAATTGATTGTGTTGAAGTACACTTACAGTATTTGATTAGGAAGGCCAAATGGTAGGTTGTCAACCAGTCCCTTTATCCAAATAAGAGCCATGCATCAACTTTGTTTCATGGGACATCGCCAAGAACTATTTCATTGAATTCGATAACACAAATAGTCAAGGAAAAGGAATAAAAGTAAATGATTTGACCTGCAATGCTAAACTTTACTCTTCCCGTTTGATAAACTATATCCAATGCTACAACTTGATCAAAATCTCATTAAATTGTTATCATTTTTCAATTTCATGGTGCCAAGTAGAAAATGGCATGGGGAGAATTGGGTTTAAGGAAAAAATAAATATTTGCTTCTACAAAGTACAAACCTATAACATTCTTCATTTTTGTGTGTTGTGGGTGGGTGGGTGGGGGAGGGGGCCTATACAATCATTGCTGAACTTATGTCCAACACTGTAACAGGCCATCTTTGGATTATTGTGGTCTCTCCTATTTCTTCTGGATAAACGAGAGAACAAGATCTGTATGTACAGTGTTGTGTGTCCACAAACAGCTGGGATGAGAAGGGGAAAACTCGGTATATATATTTCAGAATCTGCTATTTAACATGAGCTTCATTCATAATGAACATGGAAATAATCACCCTGACAGAATGAAAGTAGATGGAAAACAATGTGCAATATACCACAATTATTCTGAAGTGAGTTGAGGCAAATACTTAGAGACTAAGGGAATTGAGGGACTCACCTTCATAAATGGTCGATCAAGACTAGGGAATGAATCAATGAAACTCTCTTTTAAAAGTAATGATACCTGAACATGGAAGAACTTCAGGATTTGTTTGTTTTCGAGCAATACAAAGTATCCCTGTGAAACAGAAATACTGTGCATTATGCAACTCCATCTTCCACCTCACACGCATAACCAACACAGCCCATAAAGAACTTTCATCAAAGCCCTTATGATCCCCTATGCAATCCATATCCCTTTTAAACAAAGCTTGTAATTTGGATCTGGTAAGTGGTAACTAGAATATCTACGACAGAAAATCCTAAATAGTTCACAATTAAGTTTACGAAAAAAAAACATTAAAACAGCATAGCAGTTTATTCCAGATACCAAAGAAGCACCCGAAGAAAGCTGCTTGGCTTAATTTATTCTAATTCAACTAAACACAAACCTTATCATTGTTTGACTGTACATTTGAAATTGTCTGTGACCGCATGTTAGAGCAAAGAGAATCCAAGTATGATCTTAACACCGATAGAAAACCTTTGGCAGC